TTCTTCTCTGTGTGGTCCTGTAGCCCAGCCAAGGCTGGAAGTGTACATCACAGGCTTTTTATAGGGGTGATGAGCCCTGTTCCTGGTGTGTTTTCTGCCATCATTGGTTTCCTTATGGCAGGAACTGTGAACCCTGGTGTGACAAAGTAAAGGTGGGAACAGGGGCCTGCATACAAAAAGCTGGGTCCTGTCACAAACACCTGAGGTCCCAGGTGTGCTGGGCACAGGAACAGGAGTGCAGTGAACACTCCTCATGGCAGGTCACTAGATGGGGAGTTCTCTTTGTGGTTATTGTGATCTTGAGAGCTCCCTTTGTCCCTACATAACAGTTCATGTGAGGGGGCTCCCAAAATATTCCGGCACCCTCTAGCATGTTCAGAACGATGGGACCCCAAAGACTGGAGCAGCAAACTGGCCATGGGAAGAGCATGGGCCAGGCTCAGCAGTGGCACTTCTCATACACAGAACCTTAGATTCCTTAGATTCCCACCTGGGAATCTGCATCACTAACAGCCTGGAATTCACAGTTTCTGCCCAGATTGACTGTCTCGTTGCCTGGCTATTGCTCTCCTTCCAAGATCTGAGTTTGGCAATTCCAAACTAACTCTATGGCTGTTGTTATTTCTTTCTGAATTCCTGAGACAGAGAGGTCATGAGGCTGTTCTTAAGTGTCTCAGTTTCGGCTCAGCAGGCACTACCTCTCCCTGCGCCCCAGGCAGGCTAATGCCTTCTGGCAGAGCTGCCCTTACACGGGTCTGTGGCTCCCGAGACAATGCAAACAGCTTGTGCACTTATTCCGTTCTCAGATGAAACAGTTTCAGTGCATCTGAACCTGGTGTGGCCACATGGTATGGTCCTTCTGGCCCTCGTAGCTGAAAAGTCCTGCCTCTGTGGAGGCTTCAAAGTTTCAGGACCCATGTCTTTTCTGCAACTGAATTGGAGGAGCCCTAGTGTTAGAAATTTAGGTTGCTCCAACCTAAATTTATTATTTAGGAAGTTACTATTTCTAAAAGTAGGACACTTTTCACAGTTTTATCCTCCAAATTTTAATGGCTACTTAAAATTTAACTTTAAAAAGTAAACCAGGGGAATCAGCGAGGATAGTAAACAAATACCCAAATGTACACCCAAAATGAGGAAATTTGAACATTTTATCCTCCACCTCAGGGTTTCTTGTTTGTTTTATTTTTAAGAAATAAAACACTGGGCTGGCCCGTGGCTCAGTCGGCAGAGTGTGGTGCTGATAACACCAAGGCCACGGGTTCGGATCCTATATAGGGATGGC